CCTGAGTCTGACCGGTATCGCGCTGAGCACCCTACAGTCACGCGTCTCCTTGCTACTGTTGTCACTGACCCCACCTTTGAGTCCTCGGCTGCGTCTGCTCTGGTCGCTGAGTTGGTTGACTTTGCTGCTGCCTGTCGTCTAGACTACGCTGCTAGCCTTGTCGCTGAGTCAGAGTCTGCGTCTGTCTGTCCTCCGTCCGTCGGGGGTGAGTGTGCTCTTGGCACGGACGTCCTTGAGGACAGGCAGGAGGACTTTGACTCTCTTGCGGCTGCTGTACCTCATCTCGTGGCCTGGTTGCTTGCCCCTGAGGGAGACCCGGATGCACTAGACATCCCCACTCCGCGCACTTACGCAGAGGCGATCTCGGGTCCCTACTCCTCTCAGTGGCAGACAGCCATGGACGCAGAGATGGCATCCTGGAAGTCCACAGGCACCTACGTCGACGAGGTTCCCCCTCCTGGGGCGAACATCGTCGATGGCATGTGGATTTTCAGGGTGAAGCGGCCGCCGGGTTCTCCGCCTGTCTTCAAGGCGCGTTACGTGGCTCGAGGCTTCAGTCAGCGTCAGGGGGTCGACTTCTTCCAGACCTTCTCCCCCACCCCGAAGATGACCACTCTTCGGGTTCTGCTGCACGTTGCTGCTCAGCGTGACTACGAGCTTCACTCTCTTGACTTCAGCACAGCGTTCCTGCAGGGCAGCCTGCACGAGGAGATCTGGCTGCGCCGCCCACCTGGCTTTACTGGGTCTTTTCCCCCTGGTACCCAGTGGAGTCTCCGCCGGCCAGTCTACGGTCTCCGCCAGGCGCCACGTGAGTGGCACGACACACTGAGGACTACTCTTGCGGCTCTTGGGTTCGCGCCGTCTACTGCTGACCCGTCGCTGTTTCTGCGCACTGACACGTCGCTGCCGCCGTTCTACATCCTCGTGTACGTCGACGACTTGGTCTTTGCTACTGCTGACACTGAGGCACTCGCTCGTGTGAAGTCGGAGCTGCAGAAGAGACACACCTGCACTGACCTGGGTGAACTGCGTAGCTACCTTGGCTTGCAGATCACCCGGGACAGAGCCCGTCGCACCATCACCCTGACTCAGTCACACATGGTGCAGCAGGTCCTTCAGCGCTTCGGCTTCCAGTTCTCCTCACCACAGGCCACACCTCTGGCTACCAGCCACTCACTCTCAGCTCCACCTTCGGACGAGTCCGTAGAGCCGAGTGGTCCGTACCCAGAGCTTGTAGGCTGCCTCATGTACCTGATGACTTGCACGCGACCTGACCTCGCGTACCCTCTTAGCATCCTTGCTCGTTACGTTGCGCCTGGGAGACACAGGCGAGAGCACTGGGAGGCTGCTAAGAGGGTGCTGCGGTACCTGTGCAGTACATCAGGCATGGGGCTGGTGCTTGGAGGACGCGACAGAGTTGTCCTCACTGGTCACTCGGACGCCTCTTGGGTGGACGACCTGGCTACGCAGCGGTCGTCACAGGGTTACACCTTCAGCCTTGGCTCTGGTTCTGTCTCGTGGCGGTCCACCCGCTCTTCCTCTGTTCTCGGCTCTAGTTGTGAGGCTGAGATCTACGCCACAGCCATGGCTGCACAGGAGTTACGCTGGCTCACCTACCTGCTGACTGACTTGGGAGAGCGGCCTAGTTCTCCTCCAGTTCTGTACGGTGACAACAAGGCGGCTCTTGCCTTGTGTCAGGAGCACAGACTGGAGCACAGGACGAAGCACATTGCTCTTCGCTACTTTCTTGCTCGAGAGCTTCAGCAGCGCGGTCAGCTTCGGCTTGTGTACGTGGACTCGAAGGCCAACACTGCTGATATCTTCACCAAGGCGCTCCCGCCTAGTGATCATCAGCGGCACTGTACTTCTTTAGGCCTTGTGTCCACGTTTCCTCACTTGCTCACTGCTTGACATTCTTTGTACTGTACTTTATATATATCTTGTTGCTTGCTTGCTAGGCTTTGATCACTGTGTTGCTTGTCTTGTACTATATCTAGCACTGCATGTGAACTGGCCTTGTGGCCTTTACTTGTGCTCGGAGTGTGGTGACGTTGTGATCCACCCTGGGCTTTGCTTTGCTTTGCTGGACTGGTCTTGTGACCCTTTGTTCTCCCCCACTTTGCCTATGGGGGTGTGTTAAACTGTATTATGCTTGTAGGCTGTAGTGGGGTAGCCAATATGGGGTACAACCCCAACTAGGGTTTCATATTTGTACCCAAACTTCTGCTAGTTCCATCATTCTTGCCTAGTGATTCTGACACGAACAAGAAGCGCTTCGTTAGTCACATGTCACGAATGCGACTGCACATCAGAGGACAACATGGACATGCATTATCACAAGAGATATAGCCTATCTACACCCAAAATCGTCAACAGTGGTTTTACCATGGTGACGAACTCTTGCGGGCACTATGATACGAAAATTATATGAAAGCTTCGGTGGGAAAAGCGACAGCAACTACAACTGTCACACCTGAGATAGGACAAAGTTCCTGTCTATCGTGGTGTTACCGCTATAGTTACAAATTACTGAAGTTTTCCATTATCATCCCGAAGTTATTACACCATTAAATTTATTTTCCACCCTAAATATTCTCAGCGTTTAAATCATGACTAAGATTGCTTCACATATTTGGTTATATGATAAAATGCTTCATTAGTTGATGAAAATATAATATGATATTCTTTAATATGCGACGGTAAGGTACTAATTTTTTTTTGATTGATTTGTTATATGCTCCTACCTCAAACAAAAGTGCACATACAATGAACCATTATACCCGTCTACGGCTTCACGCTCTACAGCGCAATTGTGAAGGTTTCGTAATGCTTGGAGGAGCTCCCACTCTGATTGGTTTCGAAACATCGAGGCCTTTCCAAGCCTCAGCCACCGCACCAATTCAACAGCCGAGGCACGAACACACTATGTCGAGCCTCCAGAACGAGGTACGTGTCGGATGCTACATGCGAAAAATCTGCTTGGAGCGGGGGGTGTAGATGCCCAATCGCCAATCAGAATCGCTTGCCGTTGGTTTGCGTTTGGTTTGCCACCCGAAACGGTTTGCGACTGGTTTTCGACTGGAAAGCGTCAACCCGCTGATTTGCGATGAAGGGGTGACGAGGCTGCGATTATATGCTGCGAGGATGGAGACGGGCCGAGCAGCGGGTTTAGCGGCGAGGCCGCCACGATGTGGCTTACCGCCTGCGGCCAGGCATACTAGTGGCGGGCGGCGGCAATCCTAGTAAATGACACAATCTACCGTTGAGACCCCAGTGAGCACGCGGATCGTTTATATGGGGAGGTTTGCGCGGATCGTGCCTAAATCCGTAGTCTCTTCGCGTGTGTATACGTTTATAAGGTCTAAGGGCGCGTGTCTTTTGGTGTAGACGTTCGAAAAAAAGGTCGAACTTTTGCTGGTAACCAGCTTTGTCGATTTCGTTAAAACTTTCGCAAGGTAATCGTGTGTCCTAGCTTAACTGTGTGAAAGTTGGACACGAGCTAAAGTCGAATTTGCATTCCAACCTTTTCGTTTAGGTGAATCCAATCGTGTGTTCATTTGCGCATGCAAAAACGTTCGCGAAGTTCACGAGAGTAACGAGGTAAAGTGCGATAGCGAATTAGTGCGCTGTGCTCGAACACGAAAAATTACACGCACTGCTATTCCCATCCTTCCGCCAGTCGTTCCCCAAACCTTCACCCTGACGAATTTGGATGGATTCGCCTACACATTCCAACTTCATCGCGTTACGAAAGTTGGACACTTCGCACCCAATCAGGGTGCGGCAAAGGGTGTGCACAACCAATGCCCTAAAACCATCCCACGAAAGTGCAGTCCTTGCTGATATCAGCAGCGGGACATCCTTGTTACGTGACACTTGACAGACTGCTGATGTCAGCGAGCTCAACGATTGGTACAGAATACCGCTGGAACACTCCTATTCGCATCGCGATTTCGGGCCACGCAAGCTTGTTTTCACATTACACGTGGCAGTGCTATGCCTAGGTCCAATCAGGCAAGCTTGTCAGTTCTGCATGTTCCTGATCCAGAACAATCGTCGAACCAGAGTGGTGTGGTGTTGGTGTTGTGAGCGGCTTGCAGAGCTTCGTGATTGAAGGTTTGGGCTACCGAAACCCGAGTTTGCGCTCCCAGCGATTGTCGCAGCAGACTATTTGGGATTGTGCGAATCTGGTTACCAGCACTGGATTCGGGAACGCTGGCACCAATTGCAGTCATATCCAGAGTCGTTGGTGCAACTTCACCCACGAATTCGTAACCCATGATTCCACCATGCGCTGGTTACGTTCGCAATGCACAGCTGTCGAACTTTGGTCGGAAACTTGTGCCACGCCCTACTAGCACCAGCTCGTATCAACCACCGTGAGAAGTCCTCCGCCATGGCTTCACGCACGGCAATTCTGGTCAATGGGTAGTATGCCGTCTTTTTAGAATCGAAGAAAGGCCTGACCGCCGCAACCAGCGATCATCTCCCACCAGGCGCACGTGGCTGCGATCGGTTGGTCCAGTGTGCCAAGAGGAAAGTTTCTATTGCATCCCAGATAGAGTCTATCCGCCCGCCGATCCCGCCTCGCCATCTGCTGCCATGTCTTTTCCGCCGTCTTTTAGACAATCGAAGAAAAGCCTTACCGCTGCAAATCGAGCACATCCCACCAAGCGCACGTGGCTGCGATCGATTGGTCCGGTGCGCCAGGAGGAAATGTTCTATTGCATCTCAGATATAGTCTATCCGCCCGCCGATCCCGCCTCGCCATCTGCTAGCACGATGTTCTTCCGCCCTTCCCTTCATGCTCCCTATCAGTCCCTCGCGCCAACTCACTCCTTAGTACAAAGGATCATGGAAGGAGGGACTGATCATTACGAGCACTTCCAGCGGCGGTGAAGAGCAGCGCCTGTGCAGCTTCTCTCTAGGCTCTCTTTCGAGGAGTCCTCGGCGTCCTCCCTCAAGCCATCATGGCTCGCCAGTCGCCTCCGCCGCTCGCAATGCTGGTCCTCGCCATCTTCGTCTCGTCCGCTGCTGCTGCTGCCACTCCTGCCCCTCCCACAACCGCCGCCAGCAACAAATACGCCTTCGTCCCGGTGACCAACAGCCTTTTGTTCGGCAACGCATACTCTGTGACGTGGGGTACCACGGGAATCACCTCCGCTGTCGACTCCCATGGCGCGCCTCTCAAAAACCCCGACGGATCCGTCACTGTTGACAAAGTGTACACCGCCTACCCCAACAGCACGCTCACTGGTCCCGGCATTGTCATTGTCACCAATGGGCCCACTGCTGGGTTCACTATGGGAAAGACGACGTTCCTGAAGAACGGAACGATTCTGGACGCCTCAGGAAAGCTTGCTGTGCCGACTGTGAATGCGGACGGGTCGTACACTGCAGGGGATCTGACTGGGTGGAGCAACGGCACCATTGTCGGCCCTGGTGCGTCGATCTATCTCGGAGCACAGCTCACCCTCACCCCTGATGGCACCGTTGCTTTTGTTGCCCCCCCCCCAGCAACTACTCTTACGACCCAACCGCCAACAGCCTGACGTTCGGCAAGGATTACACAGTGACGTGGAGTGAGACAGGAAAGCTAACCTCCGCTGTCGACTCCACGGGCGCGAATGTCAAAGGCACCAACAACCCCGATGGCTCTTCCACTATTGATGGCGCGTACACCGCCTACCGCAACGGCACGCTCACTGGTCCGGGCATCGTCGTCGTCATTAGTGGACCCACTGCCGGGTTCACTATGGGAAAGACGACGTTCCTGAAGAACGGCACGATTGTGGACACCTTGGGAATTCCAGTTGTGCCGTCTGCCAATGCGGACGGGTCGTACACTGCAGGGGACCTGACTGGGTGGAGAAACAGCACCATTGTTGGCCCCACTGGTGCATCGATCTATCTCGGCGCACCGCTCACACTCAACCCCGATGGCACCGTTACTTTCGCCAGCAACAGTGGCGCTAGTGGCAGCGCTCCTTCTGCTGCTCCGCCTGCTCTGCCTGCTTCGCCTGCTCCTTCCCCACCCAAGGCTGCAGGTAACTTGTTACTTTGTGCCCCTTACTGCTGTGCCATTTGTTCCTCCACTTTGTTTATACTTTGCATGCTTCTTTGCCCTTCCTTAGCAACCTCTGTAGTTCCTCACCATGTAACCCCCCTTCACATTTCCACACCTCTTCAATCTGATTCCCTCCTTTCATCATTCCCTTGTTTCCTGGGAGCGAGTAGTTAGTTCTGCCCTCATTCTTATTGTCTTGTTGCCACCCTTGCAATGGCAGGTTTGCTTGCTATACCGGCCACTGCTCTCACCGCTGTCATCACTCTGATGCTTGGCTCAATGCTATTCGTGTAACGTGCCTGCTCCTGGTGGCACCACCGGACTAGGCTCACGGTCAGTCCAGGCGCAAGTGGCAATAAATCTAGTGTGCAGTGTATTCATTCTTTAAGGATCCAATGCCTTGCACGTCCCCATTGTCATGGACTTCATAGGTGATTGGATATCCCTAGTAATCCACTTTGTGGCTTGTACGGTAATGGGCAATGTGACATCATTGAATTTCCCAAGGAAAATATTCCTAGAAGGCACGAGCTAACATTAAATGGCAAAAGTTACAAACGGTAACGATATGGTATGAGCTAGCCTATGCCATTCTGACCACCAACTTCAAACTGTTCCGGAGCGTAGAGCGACTTGCCTTGTAAGATAATGCAAGTTCTGGCAAATATAGAGCGATCAGTAACGGGAGAAGAACGGTCGAGCCCATGAACAGTGTTGTACCCCATGAGGTCACATGCTTTATTTGTAAGGTACTATTTTTTTATTGCATCCAAATCTATACGAGGCTTACTTTATGCAGTGTGCGGCTTCGATGTGCGTGGTGTCGCTCGGTCGGAAAAATCACTAAACCCGACGGTTTTCAGATTTGTGTCAAATCGGTCGACCACTCGTGCGCCACGTCAGCTCAAATTAGAAAACCAAAACTCCGATCGACCGACCCTTTTTCTACACTTGCAAGTACGAATTAGTCACCCTGTGGCAAGTGTTACTTCTGCGTTAGGGTTTCTCGAAATTCGTGGGTTTGTGGGTGGTAGCGCTACCGAGGGTGTCAGCATGCTGACCGCGGGCAATTAAACAAACCCCATGGCTTACGGCATGCCATTTGGGAGCCTCAACCCTAAATTTTCAGGGTTGAGGCTCCCTCGGATGACATGTCGTCCGAGTGGGTTTTAGTTTTTTTCTTGCCCGCGGTCAGCTTGCTGACTCGATTGCACTGCCTGCTTACGCAGGCAGTGCAATATATATTCCAACCTACACGACACCTCGGTATGTACTGTGCAGACCAACACCACGACAAAAACGATATCATGCGGGCCAGCACGTGAGCCTAAACCAAACCTACTTTGACAAAGTTACGTACCTACTCAACACCAACCGATAAACATCACTTCATAACGCGTAAGCTACTGTAGGGTCGATCGGAGTTTTGGAATTCTAACTAGTGCTGACGTGGAGCACGAGTGGTCGACCGATTTGACACAAATCTGAAAACCGTCGGGTTTAGTGATTTTTCCCGCTCGGTCACTTCATTCCCCCTTCCCCCTTACCCTTCTTCCTCCCGACCCCATACCTGGCCCGCTTGTCATTCCGCCTAGGTTCTGCCCCATACCCTTGCATTGCAAGCCCGCTGTAATTCTGTTTGCTGCGGTGGCAGCAGATCTTTGGTCGGTCTTGGAGCACCCACCACATCCCCTCTCGTAGTTCCCCCTCCCCCGACCCTATTCCCGACGGTCCTTCTGCCTCCCCATTAGCTGGATGAATAGCGGCTGCCCACACTCTCGGATGGTCATTGCACTGTAACCATCCTCGAGTCGCAAATGACTAGGCGCATGTGGGCGCTATGCTCTCCGCCGTCATAAGAGCCCTATCTCATCGCCATGAGTCGTTGATGTCGCTAAATTTCGCATTCAGGAGTCTTGTGTCTTCCAGCATCTACAGAATTGACTTTCGTAAGGTCGTTCGCAAACAACCCAACACCCAATAGCTCCAGCGAGACAAACGCCTCCCGCGAACTCATGTAACGTAAATCGCGTGATTTTCCAGCTGGGGCACTCAAGCGACGAACCGCACTAGGTGAGGCGGCGGCGCGCCACCACTGAAATCTGGCAAGGGCGAATTGTTCTTGTTCGCTACGATTGACTTTGGTTTGGAAGGTTCATTCTGGTGCACGCTGGTCTATAGCGGTGGAAACTGGAAAACCGCTCCCAATAGTGGCTGAACGTAACATACCGCGTCAAAAGAAAGAATGACCGGCCCTGTAGGGACCTTCTGGAAATTGCGTCCTCGCGATGGTGCATCGGATCAGCTCCGCAAGGTTGGGGGGACAAGCGGAAGACCCATTCCGCTTGAGCGGAAGCACAACAGCACTTGCACTGCAATGCAAGAAGATTCCAGTCAATTCTTGACCACACGCGCTGCATTGCACCGTTCGTTGTCTCCTCACCTCATTCACCCCCCCCATGCTCAGAAATACATCAGCTCTGGTCGATCTTGGCCCAAGTCAGAAAGATAGCTGCTTCGGGAATCAAACGAGTGGGCCAGCGTGTGGATCCAGCACCGCTTTTCGCGTACTCTGTGGCATAACTCATTCGCATTTCGACCCACCGTGCTCCCATCGCGCTCTCTTGCCGCCATTGAATTTCTATCATGGCGCGCCAGTACCTCGCGCTCGCGCTGCTGCTGCTCGCGGTCACCATCTCGACGACCGCCGTGAGACCAGCGAATGGCGCGACGCTCGTCATTAGCAACGCCGATCGCAGCCTGACGGTCGACAATTACACCATCTACGGCAGTACCATTTACGACAACGAGACCGGCGCCGTCGTCACGCCGACGAAAAACCCCGACGGGTCGCTCACGGTGGAAGGCAAGTACACGTGGCACCCGAACGGGACCATCACCGCGCCCGGAGTGACTATCTACATCGCCGGCGCGGACAGCTTCGTGGAAATCGCGAACACGAAGCTGTTCGGCAAGGGCGGGGTTGCGCGGAACGCCGCGACGGGCGCGGTGATACCGTGGGTTGAAAACCCTGACGGTACATTCACTGCCGGCGACATTACCGGCTGGGCCAACGGCACGTTTCTCGGCTCTAATGGCGTCGTGCTGCGCACGCGCCTCTCTTTCAATCCGACGGGCGGCTCGGGTGGAAGTACCGGTAGCGGCGGTGGCACGGGCACCGGCGGTGGAACGGGCACTGGTGGAGGCACGGGTGCCGGGGGAAGCACGGGCACGGGCGGAGGCACCGGCACGGGCGGAAGCACGGGCACCGGAGGAAGCACGGGCAGTGGCGGAAGCACGGGCAGTGGCGGAAGCACGGGCACCGGAGGAGGCACGGGCACGGGCACGGGCGGAAGCACGGGCACGGGCGGAAGCACGGGCACCGGCGGAAGCACGGGCACCGGCGGAAGCACGGACAGCGGCGGAGGCACGGGCACTGGCGGAAGCACGGGCACCGGCGGAAGCACGGGCACCGGTGGAGGCACGGGCACTGGCGGAGGCACGGGCAGCGGCGGAGGCACGGGCACTGGCGGAAGCACGGGCACGGGCGGAAGCACGGGCACCGGGGGTAGCACAGGCAGCGGCGGAGGCACGGGCAGCGGCGGAGGCACGGGCAGCGGCGGAGGCACGGGCAGCGGCGGAGGCGTAAACCCTGACGGCACAGTGTCGTTCGGGCAGGACTACACGCTTCTGCCCAGCGGCACAGTGATTGACTCTGCTGGCAAGCCTGTTAAGCCTGTAGCCAATCCCGACGGCTCGTTCACCGTCGGCGGCAAGTACACCGCCTACCCCAACGGCACCATTGTGGGTCCCGGCGGGTCGGTGGTAGAGAGCGGAAAGCAGTTCGCAGTGAATCCGGATGGCACCATTGCTGTCACCTCGCCCACTCCTAACCCTGACGGCACTGTGTCGTTCGGCAAGGACTACACTCTCCTGCCCAGCGGCACAGTGATTGACTCCTCTGGCAAGCCTGTTAAGCCTGTCGTTAACCCTGACGGCTCGTTCACCGTCGGCGGAAAATACACTGCCTACCCCAACGGCACCATCGTGGGTCCCGGCGGGGCGGTGGTGGAGAGTGGAAAGCAGTTCGCCGTGAATTCGGATGGCACCATTGCTGTCACCTCGCCCACTCCTAACCCTGACGGCAGTGTGTCTTTCGGGCAGGACTACACGCTCCTGCCCAACGGCACAGTAGTTGACTCCTCTGGCAAGCCCGTCAAGCCCGTCGCCAATCCCGACGGCTCGTTCACCATCGGCGGCAAATACACCGCCTTTCCCAACGGCACCATTGTTGGTCCCGGCGGGTCGGTGGTAGAAAGCGGCAAGAAATTCGCCGTGAATCCGGATGGAACCATCGCCGTCACTCCCAACCCTAGCAGCACCAATCTGACTGTCAACCCCGACGGCAGCCTGACCTTCGGACCCGGCTACACTCTGTTGCCTAACGGCCAGGTGGTAGACTCCCTTGGAGCTCCCGTCAAGCCCACTGCCAACCCCGATGGGTCGTTCTCAGTTGGTGATGGCTATACTGCGTACCCCAACGGCACGGTCACGGCTCCCGGCGTTTCCATCGCCACTGTCTCTGGCGCGCCTGCGTTCACGATCGGCGGCACGACGATGCTGGCCAATGGCACGGTGCTGGACGCGGCTGGAGCGCCGATCAAGCCGACGGCGAATGCAGACGGGTTGTTCACAGCGGGTGACATCACAGGGTTTCCGAACGGCACTATTATCGGCGCCAACGGCGCTGTGGTCAACACCGGCAAGCAGTTCACCGTTGCCCCCGATGGCACCATTGCCGTCACCTCTCCTGCGCCTGGATCTCTCCCCGCGCCTGGCTCCTTGCCTGCTCCTGGCTCCATGCCTGGTCCCATTCCCTCTGGCCCCAGCAGCACCAATTTGACCGTCAACCCAGACGGCAGCGTGACCTTCGGACCCGGCTACACCCTGCTACCCAGCGGCCTCGTGATTGACTCCGCTGGAGCTCCTGTTTCTCCCATTCTCAACCCGGACGGGTCTTTCACTGTTGCTGATGGCTACATTGCGTACACCAACGGCACGCTCTCTGCTCCTGGCGTTTCCATCGGCGCGTCTGGGTACACGGTAGGCGGCACGACGATGCTGGCCAATGGCACGGTGCTGGACGCGGCTGGGAAGCCGATCAAGCCGAAGAAGAACGCCGACGGGTCGTTCACAGCGGGGGACATCACAGGGTTTCCGAACGGCACCATTGTGGGCGCCAACGGCGCAGTGGTCAACACCGGCAAGCAGTTTGCTGTTAACTCTGATGGCACCATCACTGTCACCTCTCCTGCCCCTGGCTCTGCCCCTGCTCCTGGGTCTGAGATGGCACCTGCCTCTGCTCCTTCCCCTGGCTCTATTCCTGCCCCTGGCTCCGAGCCTGCACCTGGTTCCGAGCCTGCACCTGGCTCCGAGCCTGCACCTGGCTCTGAACCTACACCTGGTTCCGAGCCTGCACCTGGCTCCGAGCCTGCACCTGGCTCCGAGCCTGCACCTGGGTCTGAACCTACACCTGGCTCCGAGCCTGCACCCGGTTCCAACCCCGGTCCCACTCCCTCCGACCCCAGCAACACCAGGCTGACGTTCAACCCAGACAACACCCTGTCATTCGGACCCGGCTACACGCTTTTGGCAAACGGCACAGTCACTGACTCCACTGGAGCCGCTGTCGCTCCCACTGTCGATCCCGATGGCTCCTTCACTGTCGGCGGTGATTACACTGCCTACCCCAACGGCACGCTCACAGCTCCTGGTGCTTCCATCGCCCTGGCCGGCACGCCCGGATACACAATAGGCAGCACGACAATGCTGGCCAACGGCACGGTGCTGGATGCAGCTGGAGCGCCCATTGTGCCAACAGATAACGGGGACGGGTCGTTCACAGCGGGGGATATCACAGGGTTTGAGAACGGTACACTTGTGGGCGCCAACGGTGCAGTGGTCAACACGGGCAAGCAGTTCTCCCTCGGCACCGATGGCACCATCACTGTCACATCTGGTGCTCCTGCCTCTGCCCCTGCGCCCGGCTCCCTCCCTGGCCCCGTTCCCTCCCCCGGGCCCGTTCCTTCCGCCGGCGGTGGCAGCGTGACGTTCAACCCCGATGGCAGCCTGTCGTTTGGTGCCGGCTACACTCGCTTCCCCAACGGCACGTTTGTGGACTCCACTGGAGCGCTCGTCTCCCCCACCAAGAACACAGACGGGTCTGTCACTGTGGGCGGAGACTATACCTTCTACCCCAACAATACATTCACTGCACCTGGACTCTCCTTTGCTGAGACCGGTGGGCGGCTCACCATTGGCGCCACGACGATCCTGGCCAATGGCACGGTGCTGGACGCGGCAGGGCAGGCGATTCAGCCCACAGTGAACGCGGATGGATCAGCAGCGACGGCGGGAGACCTGACGGTGTACAGCAACAGCACGATCGCTGGGGCGAATGGTGCGGCTGTGAACACATTCAGAACGACAACCATTGGCCCCGATGGCACTATTACCTTTGGCGCTGTCACTCCCAGCCCAAGCCCCGGCACCGGCACCGGCACCTCTCCTGCATCTCCTACTCCATCCTCCCCAGCTGCTGCCTCACCGCCACCACCCAAGCCTGCTGGTATGTTCTCTGCTTTGCGTTGGTCGCACCTACTGTGTTTTGAGTTGACTCAAAACACACCCATCCCCAGCCCCACCCCCACCACCCCTCCTCCATCTCCTACTCCCTCCTCCCCTGCTGCCGCACCGCCACCACCCAAGCCTGCCGGTATGTTGCTCCTTCCGTGCCTTGGTTCTGCTTTGAGTTGCTCCTTCCGTGCCTTTGTTCTGCTGTGAGTTGCTCCTTCCGTGCCTTGGTTCTGCTTTGAGTTGCTCCTTCCGTGCCTTGGTTCTGCTTTGAGTTGCTCCTTCCGTGCCTTTGTTCTGCTGTGAGTTGCTCCTTCCGTGCCTTGGTTCTGCTTTGAGTTGCTCCTTCCGTGCCTTGGTTCTGCTTCGAGTTGCTCCTTCCGTGCCTTTGTTCTGCTGTGAGTTGCTCCTTCCGTGCCTTGGTTCTGCTTTGAGTTGCTCCTTCCGTGCCTTTGTTCTGCTGTGAGTTGCTCCTTCCGTGCCTTGGTTCTGCTTTGAGTTGCTCCTTCCGTGCCTTTGTTCTGCTTCGAGTTGCTCCTTCCGTGCCTTTGTTCTGCTGTGAGTTGCTCCTTCCGTGCCTTGGTTCTGCTTTGAGTTGCTCCTTCCGTGCCTTTGTTCTGCTTTGAGTTGCTCCTTCCGTGCCTTGGTTCTGCTGTGAGTTGCTCCTTCCGTGCCTTGGTTCTGCTTCGAGTTGCTCCTTCCGTGCCTTTGTTCTGCTTCGAGTTGCTCCTTCCGTGCCTTTGTTCTGCTGTGAGTTGCTCCTTCCGTGCCTTGGTTCTGCTTCGAGTTGCTCCTTCCGTGCCTTTGTTCTGCTGTGAGTTGCTCCTTCCGTGCCTTGGTTCTGCTTTGAGTTGCTCCTTCCGTGCCTTTGTTCTGCTTCGAGTTGCTCCTTCCGTGCCTTTGTTCTGCTGTGAGTTGCTCCTTCCGTGCCTTGGTTCTGCTTTGAGTTGCTCCTTCCGTGCCTTTGTTCTGCTGTGAGTTGCTCCTTCCGTGCCTTGGTTCTGCTTTGAGTTGCTCCTTCCGTGCCTTTGTTCTGCTTCGAGTTGCTCCTTCCGTGCCTTTGTTCTGCTGTGAGTTGCTCCTTCCGTGCCTTTGTTCTGCTGTGAGTTGCTCCTTCCGTGCCTTTGTTCTGCTTCGAGTTGCTCCTTCCGTGCCTTGGTTCTGCTGTGAGTTGCTCCTTCCGTGCCTTGGTTCTGCTTCGAGTTGCTCCTTCCGTGCCTTTGTTCTGCTTCGAGTTGCTCCTTCCGTGCCTTTGTTCTGCTGTGAGTTGCTCCTTCCGTGCCTTGGTTCTGCTTCGAGTTGCTCCTTCCGTGCCTTTGTTCTGCTGTGAGTTGCTCCTTCCGTGCCTTGGTTCTGCTTTGAGTTGCTCCTTCCGTGCCTTTGTTCTGCTTCGAGTTGCTCCTTCCGTGCCTTTGTTCTGCTGTGAGTTGCTCCTTCCGTGCCTTGGTTCTGCTTTGAGTTGCTCCTTCCGTGCCTTGGTTCTGCTTCGAGTTGCTCCTTCCGTGCCTTTGTTCTGCTGTGAGTTGCTCCTTCCGTGCCTTGGTTCTGCTTTGAGTTGCTCCTTCCGTGCCTTTGTTCTGCTTCGAGTTGCTCCTTCCGTGCCTTTGTTCTGCTGTGAGTTGCTCCTTCCGTGCCTTTGTTCTGCTTTGAGTTGCTCCTTCCGTGCCTTTGTTCTGCTGTGAGTTGCTCCTTCCGTGCCTTTGTTCTGCTGTGAGTTGCTCCTTCCGTGCCTTGGTTCTGCTTTGAGTTGCTCCTTCCGTGCCTTTGTTCTGCTTTGAGTTGCTCCTTCCGTGCCTTTGTTCTGCTTTGAGTTGCTCCTTCCGTGCCTTGGTTCTGCTTTGAGTTGCTCCTTCCATGCCTTTGTTCTGCTTTGAGTTGGCCACAACCACTGCTCTCGTGTCTTTGAAGCTGTATTTTCTGCTCTCATGTGACTGACTCTTGGTCTCACTCCACCCTCCCTTCCCCTTGCCAGGTTCCCTCGCTTCACCGGTCAGTGTCTTGGCCACTGCCATCACTGTTGCTCTCACAGATGGTTTTCGATTGCTCTGATGTGACTCTCCACTCCACCATCCCTTCCCCTTGCCAGGTTCCCTCGCTTCACCCGTCAGTGTCTTGGCCACTGCCATCACTGTTGCGCTCACCTCCCTGCTCTTTGTGTAGAGCAGTGTGTCAAACATGAAACAAGGGAGACACAAGTCAGTGGAATTATCTAATCGCAGGAGGAAGACACGAGCAAGCACTGCCACTATGTCTTATTGGCTGTCCTGTATGCTGAAGGGCTGTTGGGATTGAGACTAGGATTTTGCTGGCAGACCTGCCAGGGTTTTTGCAGTAGCTAGGTAGGTGGTTCCGATTACCTTAGAATAACTGGCGACTGCTATTATTTGCATTGTTGCTTAAGATAGCGCAAGGTTGATGCAACTTGAAACAGCGGTTCCCAGTTGATCCAGAGCTATTACTATGCGTCTGGTGCACAGTTGTGCCACTGCTAGAGCAGGAGTTCTGCACAGGGATATACAAAGATTCGTGCTAATAAATGGAGTTTTAGTAGGCACTTGTATATCTTATTTTTTATGCTTGTATATAGTTTAATCAAAATGCACACTCCACTTCGCTTTCCAAGGTGTTCTCTACACACATCTGTGCACTGACTCACGATTACAATGTCTCAATCCTATCCTAGACGACAATGCCATTGACCAGCAAGGCTGAACAGAACAGAATCTGTCAAGCAGCATGCACACAATTGCAGTCGACAGTCATTCTATGGTAAACAACATTTAGAACTTCCAACCCCTAGGTACTGCAATACTCTGGCAGGTCCACCAGCAAAGACCCGAGTCACAACACAAACCCAACAGCCTTTCAGAATAGAACAGCCAACATCGACAGAAACACAGTGGCAGTGCTGCCACCTGACTTGTGTCTTCACAGTGCATTTGGTACCACTGTAATTCTGATACCGCAGTTACTGACTTGTGTCTCCTCTTGTTTCGTGTTCAACACACTGCTCTACACAAATAGCAGAGAGGTGAGCGCAACAGCAATGGCGGTGAACAAGACACTGACCGGTGAAGCGAGGGAACCTGGCAAGGGGAAGGGATGGTGGAGCGAAGAGACACATCGGAGCAATTGAAAACAAATTGTGGGAGCATGTGAAGGGTGGGAGATGGGCATGTGATTGTCAATGAAAGGAGGAGGGGGAAGGGGGGTGAGGGAGGGAAGGGGAGGGGAAGGAGGGGAAGCTGGGAAACGAGGGGTAACATGCTGAGATCACAGTTCGAGAAAACGAAAATATTAGTTGCGACCAACCCAGAGCAGAAAACATACCAGCAGGCTTAGGTGGTGGCGGTGAGGCAGAAGGGGAGGAGGGCGTAGTAGATGCAGGAGTGACGCTGGGGGTGGGGCTTGGGCTGGGGATGGGGCTGGGGGCGGGGCTGGGAGCACCTGTAAGTGGAGGGCAGGACGGAGGTGAGACAGAGGCAGTAGAGTCACATGAGAGGGCTAACGAACGAATAGTGGGAGTGACGTAAGAGATATTTTAAAACAGGGTGTCGGGGACATGGGCACGCGGCTGCTTGGGACGAAAGAAAACGGGCGGAAACAGGGAAACAAGAGGGGAAACGGACTGAAATGAAACCTGCAAGAAACACGAGCACCAGATGTGTCCGAGACAAAGAAGAGCAAATGAACGGAAGAAGCACCAAGCCAGCAGGCTTGGGTGGTGGCGGCGAGGCTGCAGGGGAGGAAGGAGTAGTAGGAGATGCAGGGGGGTTGCTGGGGCTGGGAGAAAGAGTAACGCCTGATGGCGCCAATGTTTGTTGTACTGAATGCGTTCACCTCCACCCCGTTCGGATTGAACAGTGGGCGTCGGAGTGGGCATGGCAAAGGAGAAGGTGAGCAGTTAGCGCGCCATTGGACTGGACGGTGAAGTCGAGACCTCTAAGAGGATCACCAGGCCGCTAAGTATGAGGAGGACATAGCTACGTTCGGAAGGCAGCGAGCTGTCGCTGCGCACCACCGAACCTTCGGGACACACAATCGTGCCGTTGGGTCGGGAAGTGCAAACAAGCCGACGGTAAACGAGCGACGGGAAACGAGCCGACGGGAAACGAGCCGACGGGAAACGAGCCGACGGGAAACGAGCAGACGGCAAACGAGCAGACGGCAAACGAGCCGACGGTAAACGAGCAGACGGCAAACGAGCCGACGGGAAACGAGCCGACGGCGAACGAGCCGACGGTAAACGAGCCGTCAGGATTGGCGACGGGCTAGCTAATGGAGTCAATAGCCGTGCCGTTGGGCAGCAGAGTGTAGTCCTTGCCCAACGGCACATTGCCGTTGGGGTTTACGCCCCGCCATTGCCCGTGCTTCCGCCGGTGCCGGTGCTTCCGCCAGTGCCCGTGCCTCAGCCCGTGCCTGTGCTCCCATGCCCGTACCTGTGCCGCCGCCGCCGCGGGTGCCGTTCGAAGGCTTGAACTTGAGGCGTGTTCGCAGCACGACGCCATTCGAACCGATGAACGTGCCGTTGGGAAAGCCGGTGATGTCGCCGGCGGTGAACGAGCCGTCGGTGTCGTTCTCAATCCACGGGTCTACTGTGTTTGTCGTGGCGTCCCTCGCGAGGCCGTCAATGCCGTACAGCCTCGTCATCGCGATCTGCACGTAGCTGTTCTTGCCGGCCACCGCTATAGTCACACCCGGCGCCACGATGGTGCCGTTCGGGTACCACGTGTACTTGCCCTCGACCGTGAGCGAACCGTCGGGGTTTTTCTTTGGCTTGACGACGGCCTTGGTTTCGCTGTCGACGATCGTCTTGCCGTGGATGGTGTAATTGTCGACCGTCAGGCTGCGGTCAGCGTTGCTGATGATGATCGTCCCGTGTTTCGTTGTTGTCACGGCGGTCGTCGAGATGGTGACCGCGAGCAGCAGCACCGCGAGGACGAGATACTGGCGCGCCATGGTCGTTATCGCCGCTGGCAGCAGGTGAGCGCGACGGAGGAGAGATTCGAGCAATGCCACAGCGTGCGCGAAAGACGCCGCGCTGGCTCACTAAATGTCTGAAGTAGCAAGACCCCAGCCAATTCTAAAAATATGGATAGGGATAGGGGGAGGAGAGGGCGACCGACGCAAGCCGTGCAGAAGTCGAAGCTGCATGCCAGTTCCGACTCTTCTTGCGCTGCCCCGGCGGAATGCTTCTTCCGCTCGCTCGGTCCTCCCGGACGAACAGGTGCGCGGGATGCGCCATCCACCATATTACACCACACAGAGCACGAAATCGAAGTCCTTGCACAGGTTTGAGTTCGGTTCGGTGGTGGTGTGCCGCCTCCCCTAGGGCGATTCGTGGATAGAGTGGTCCGGTTGGTGCTTGATAATTCGCCGCGACGACAGGAATCCGAACGTCCCAGTCGTGGCGGTTATCTATTGGCTGACGTGAAGTCATATTTGGGGATGCAAGATTCACTGGCTGCAATTTATTTCCGGCGGTACAAGCATCGCAAATGGGAGTGAGGAGGGGTGGGTGGTGGTTGGGGGGGGACCATGACATGAGTTTGTGGTGGCGGGGAGTGCGCATCGAGCACCCAAGCCTGGTCTTGACGAACTGAGGGTGATTGGCCACTTCCCTGCTTAATTTCGTCCCTGGTTTGATTTTTTCCGGTAGAGTATTGTAGCTGTTGTTCTGTACAGTTGCCTGGTTAGGTTTGAAAGCGTAAGGAAAATCATACAAATTTTAGTTCTGTCGGCTTGCACAATTCAAATAAGTGTAGTCCAAACGAAGGGCACAGCGGCCGCCATTGTTTTTCCGTTGGCTTTATATCGGCTCAACGTGGAGTTCCTGTTTAATCACGCTATAACAACAGAAAACCCATAGTACTTACTGTGTTGCAAAAAGAATTACCGTGTTGTATAATGTACAAAACAGGCCCTCAGATTCGTTTGGGGGTACACTGAGGCCTCAGGGCAGTTTTTAGGAAATCAGAATTTGCCCTGATTTGTCAGGGCTGCACAGGGTGAATTATCCTGAAATGTCAGTGCTACATTTGATAGTATCCTGGCAGCTCAGTGCTACATTTCGTACAGTCCAGTATATTTCGCGCGTGTTATGTTAGCGAGGATCGAAGTGCTCTCCACAATTGAAGTGTGCAATGCTGGGGTGCAGCTGCAATTGGCTGGCAGTGCATGGCGGTACAAGCAGATGGCGAAGGTGGTGGGTGGACATCGTGGGCCAAATTGGCTAGAAAAGCGAAGTAATGGCCTCCAGCACTGAACTTCTACTTTGTTCTCCAGCAGAGCTCTCAAGAAGTGTCGTAGTGGGTAAGGCGACAGCCTGTTACCCAGTAAGTCGCCTGCTCGATTTCCGTCGGCTCCTACATTTGAGGCGCTCGCGCACCTAAGGGCGCGTCCCCTCCCTCGATCGATCGCGAGATCGTTGTGGAAAATCGATCGGGCACACCGATCGCAGGATTGGGGCGGGATTGGTAGGAGGTGACAGTCGCGGATCGATCGCGAGCCCTGGGTGACAGGATCAAGAATTTTAGGGGGAAATGTCAGAATGAGGAAATGGGTGATGCATTGATGTTGGTTGGGGTACATATAGCTAACCCTAAGTTTTGTACCCCCTAAGACAAACCTCACTATAGGCTACAACATTTGACACACCCCCATAGCCTAAGTGAGGGGTGTCTAGCAAAACCAAACGAGTACGGTCACAAGACCAGTCCAAGAAACGAAGCTCAGGGTGGATCACAACGTCACCACACAGTCTGAGCACAAACAACAGTGGCCACAAGGCCAGTCCAAGAAGTAACAGAGGTATATAGAAAGCAAAGTAAACAGTACACTCAAGTCTAAGCAACACGAGAACCAGTGTCAACAAGGCCTAACTGCACACAGCACCTCTGGTGGTCACAAGGCGGAAGCGCCTTGGTGAAGATGTCTGCAGTGTTGGCCTCGGACTCCACAAACTCAAAGCGAGCCTGTCCACGCCTCTGCAACTCTCGCAGAAGAAAGTACCTGACGTGAATGTGCTTCACTCTGCTCTCCAGTCGTGGCTCTCGACAAAGGAGAATAGACGCCTTGTTGTCAGTGAACAAGGTCGGTGCAGAGCTCGGCCGCTCACCAAGGTCGGTGAGCAAGAAGGTCAACCAACGCAGCTCCTGTGCCGCCATGGCACCAGCGTAGATCTCAGCCTCAGCTGTAGAGGTCGAGACCGAAGAGGAGCGCGTGGACCGCCAGGAAACAGCTCCAGAACCCAGGCTGAAACAGTACCCCTGAGTAGACCTGTGAGTCTCAGCGTCGTCAGCGTAAGAGGAGTCACAGTGACCAGTAAGTACGACAGACTGCTGTCCTCCAAGAACTAGCCCCACGCCTGATGTCGTCGCTAGGTACTTCGCCACCCTCACAGCTGCTGTCCAGTGAACAGGACGGTGTCTCCCTGGCGCAACAAAGCGCGCAAGAACGCTGAGAGGGAAGGCGAGGTCCGGGCGAGTACAAGTCATCAGGTACATGAGGCAACCCACAAGCTCTGCGTAGGGACCACTAGGCTCGAACGGCTCGTCAGGAAAGGGTCCAGTGAGTCTGTGGTCAACAGCAAGAGGTGTGCGCTGTACTGTGGAGTGCTGAAGCCCGAACCGCTAAAGGACCTGCTGCACCATGTGCGACTGTGAAAGTGTAATGGTGCGAGCAGCTCTGTCCCTGGTGATCTGCAGGCCAAGGTAGTGGCGCAGCTCACCAAGATCAGTGCAGGTGTGTCTCTTCTGCAGTTCGGACTTCACGTGTGCCAAAGCAACCCTGTCAGGGGTGGCGAAAACAAGGTCGTCAACGTAGACCAGAACAAAGAAAGGTGTGGGGCCACGACGAACGAACAGCGACGGGTCAGCAGAAGACGGCTGGAACCCAAGGTCAGACAGGGTAGAACGCAGGGTGTCGTGCCACTCACGAGGAGCCTGACGAAGACCGTAAACCGGTCGCCTCAGCCTCCACTGGGTCCCAGGAGGGAAAGAGCCAGTGAAGGCAGAGGGACGACGCAACCAGACCTCCTCGTGAAGACTGCCCTGAAGGAAAGCAGTAGAGAAGTCGAGAGAGTGTAACTCGTAGTCTCTCTGTGCTGCTACGTGTAGTAACACCTGAAGAGTGGTCATCTTCGGGGTGGGCGCGAAGGTCTGAAAGAAGTCAACTCCCTCGCGCTGACTGAAACCTCTAGCCACGTAGCGCGTCTCGAAGACCGGAGGAGATCCCGGTGGCCGCTTCACCCTGTAGATCCACATGCCGTCGACTACGTTCGCCCCCGGAGGGGGAACCTCATCGACGTAGGTGCCTGTGGATCTGTAGGAGGCCATCTCTGCGTCCATGGCAGCTCTCCACTAAGAGGCCCAAGGCCCTGACACTGCCTCAGCGTAAGTGCGAGGAGTCGGAATGTCAAGGGCGTCGGGGTCACCCTCAGGGGCGAGGAGCATGGCACAGAGATGAGGGGAAGCGGCCGCCAGGAACTCTAGCTCAAACTGCCTGTCCTCTAGGGCGTCACAGCCAAGGGCAGACACACCCCCGACGGCCAGAGGACTGGAAGGAGGAGCAGCCACAAGAGCGGTGGCGAAGTCAAGGCGGCGGGTAGAGGCAAACTCAGTGACTGCGGCAGTAAGAGCGGACACAGAGGACACAGAGGCACGAGGGTGGGTAACAAGAGAGGCGAGAACACGAGAGAGAACAGGACGGTACGTGCGGTAGTAGTCAGTGACAGGAGAAGGAAGCGACACAGTGAGGGCCGACTCAGGAGGAGACGGAAGCACAGACGGAGACGGACGAGGTGGACTAGAACGAAGTAAGGCAGTACGAAGGTCAGTGAAGGGAACAGGAGACGAGGGACGAGCACGAGGGGAGCGACGAGAGGCCCAAGTCTGAGAAGGAGGAGGGGACAACGAAGACTGAGAACGAGGGAAAACAGCGGGAGAGGGGTCAGGAGGAGGAAGCGGAGGACCAGAGACGGGAGGAGAGGGGGAGGAGGAAGGAGAGGGAGAGGGGAGACCAAGGGTCCGAAGACCCGATACAGGGGGAGGAGACGACAGCTGCTGCTGCTGCGGCTGCTGCGGCTGCTGCTGCTCCAGCGGCTGCTGCCCCTGCTGCTGCTCCTGCTGCTGCTCCTGCTGCTGTCGCTCCTGCTCCTCGAGCCGCTGCAACTCTCTCTCCTCTCTCTCCAACTCCAGCTGCTCCTCACGAGCACGGCGAACACGAGCCTGGAACCTGGTCGGGTAGGGGTGGGGGGAAGGAGTAGTGTCCGGGGCAGCGGCAGCCCCAGAGTCGACCTCCGAAGCACCAAGCACACCACCCCCAGAGGCAGCACCAACACCAGCTCCAGACCCAGGCTCTCCAGAAACCGAAGGGACACCCTCACCCCCAGACGCAGCACCCCCAGACTTCGCACCAGCACCCCCAGCCACCGCACGACCAGTACCAGCCCCCGGAAGACAAGAGTCCTCTGCAACCCGCGGCTCAGCTCCAACTCCAGCACCCCCAGAACCAGAGACCTGTACAGGGACAGTCGCAGGACCAACCTCTCGAGAGGGAGCACCTGCAGGAGGCGGCGAGGAAGACTGTGGGGAGGGAGGCTGTACAGGGGGGGCTACCGAAGGGGGAGGGCTAGCCTGAGACACACCAGACGGGGCTGGACCAGGGGGGGGAGGCTGTACCGGGGGAGCAGGCGGGGGAGCGGCGGTCAGGAAGAGAGGGGGGGGAGGGACCGGGAGACCTCGACTGGGGTACCTGACGTAGTAGGGGGTGGACTCCTCGAAACGGACGTCACGGGAGTCAAAGAACCGGTGAGAGGGAGGGTGGTAAAAGGTGAAGTCAGAGGAGTCCTCAGGGAAACCAAGGAAGACACAAGGAACGGCGCGAGGCGAGAGCTTGTCCGCGGAGGTGTCGCGGACAAGAGCCAAGCACCCCCAGACACGAAACCTCGACGCGACACC